TTAAGAAGTTTTGTGTCAGTATTACTTAAAAGTCATTTATCACTAAACTAACTTTGGTGCAAAAATTAAAATGCATGGAATGGTGTGAATATGCGATAGCACTGATCATATGGTGAAATGTGGTACATCTCTGTGCTGGTCCTCAAGGGAACTTGTATCATTAACATTTGAATCAGATGTAAACAAAACTCCCCCTTGTGGTTCATTCCTCAGTGCCATAGTTGAGACAGAACCCGCCTCCCCCGCCCACTAAAAAATGAAATAATTTTGTAACTATTAAAATAGAAAAATAAGTTACTAGAAAATACAAAGAACATAAGCATAATCTGCTTCTGAAATGAAGATTTTGATGCCTGTAATAATTGGCTTGTTCTCAAAGTCATAAATTCTGTTCTGTTTTCTGTCTTCAGATATCTGTACTCTATCCTCAGTCGACTAGCACTATTTTCTGATACCTTGCTTGGGTTTGCATATCCCAAACCTTGATGTGGCTTCATACCAGGGCCTCAAATTTATTGCCTGGTAAATTTGAGGTATCTCCTGGTAGCTTCAGTCAAAAGTAAGACAACAAGATTACCAGTTTGGGGAACTTCTCTAAGAGATTAGGTTTCAGGGTGAAATCACTGAAAACCTAGGGCTTCTGCAAAATATTTTGGAGTCACCTATAATGGACCACAACTGAAATTTTCTAATTTGATTATCCTCATGTCTTTGGCCAAGAAAATAAAGTTTACAGGATAGTCCAGTCCAAAAACAGTCAAAGGTCAAATGTTTTCCTTGATATGTGGAAGGGGAGGGGATTAAAAAAAAAAAAAAAAAACAAGAAAGAGACAGAAAGGAAAAAAAGTAGAGAGTGAATTTCATCAAAATAGATTAAAAAATAGTAGAATAGATGAATGGAATTGAGGAAGAAGAAGAAGAAGGGATGGAAAAAAAAAGCAGTGGATGAATCTGACTGAACTTTCACATGTACATGCGTGGATGTGGCATGGTGGGTCCCACATCAGGGGTATCCACAGGACACTGATTAAAAATAAATATAAACTGTAAATAGATTGAAGAGAGATTTGGTGGATTGGAGGGCGGAAGTGCTGGGGTCTGAATCAGAGCAGGTTAGGTTCCATGCTTTTGTGATTATGTCAAGGTATATCCTGATGTTGTATCATAACTAAAAAGAATTTTGTAAAAAAAAWGTTTGCTGGATATTACTCAGATATTACTCAGGCAATGAAGAACTGGTTTGAATTTAAGGTTGTTTCCTGGACTTGTCTTCTTTATGCGGTCCCCAGTGGGGAGGCCAAGAAAAAAACATATTTAAAAATCAAGTTTGCTTTTAGTGAACTGTGAAAGTAGAGTGTCTTGTATGAAGACCCACTGCATTTCATAAAAATTATTTATTTATGATTAACATGTATTAATTTCAAATACTAATGGGATTTATGTGATATTTCAATACATGCATGTAGCATACACTGATTAAATCCAGCCTCCCTTTGTCCATCCTGTCCCCACTTTCCCAGTCTCTCTCAATTGCTAGTCTATGTGTAATGTAAGTTGACTTTCCTTTTAACTTGCATGTATGAGAGAAAAATATGTGGCACCTATCATTCTATATTTGTCTTATTTTACTTAATATAATATCCTCTAGTTCCATCCATTTTGCTACTAATGACATAATTTTATTTTTTTGTGCCTGAATAGTATTTCATTGTGTATATATGCCATTTTTTATCCATTAATCCACTCACGAGTTCTTAGATTGATTCCACATGTTTGTGTGTAGACATGTGGTGTGAGTGTGCACACGTTTTAATTTAATGTAAAGTCAAGCAGAACATGTTGAATTTTCTTRTTTCCTTCAACAGGCATTTTCTGATAGAGTAGTTATTTATCACTGTGTGCTATATCTTCAGAAATAATACTGCCATTTAAAGTTAAGACTTGCAACAAGTTTTGTGACCACTCCTATTTGATAGGTAGGGAAAAAATTAATGACCATATTTGTGTATGATGAAATCTGTGAAATATAAGGAACAAGGAGTGCGATGAGGGTGATGAGAAAGAGACTTATAAAACTGACAAAATATTTAAAATAAACTTTCAGCTGAGTCCTGTAGTACTCTAAAGATTTCTCTTATGTTTCCATGATCTACTCACAACTTCCTGTGGGTGTTGTATTAGTGGTGTATTCATTACTATAATGAAATACCTGAAATGGTTACGTTTATAAAAATGAGATTTATTTAACTTGCATTTTTAGAGCATTGTGTCTGTATTGGCACAATTTTAACCAAGAACCTTCCAACTGTAATCATATCTTGGCAAAGGTGTGCRTGTGTGGAAGAGTTCATGTTGCCAAACGTAGTCAAAGATCGGTGTCACAAAATCTCTTTTGAGGGCACTCCCTCAAAGACCTAAAGACCTCCTTCTAATAACCTCTCCCCCCACCCCAAATTTTCACTACACAGCAATGTCTTGTTATCCTGGAGACCAAGGCTTTAATCATAATAGACCCTGGAGGGCACTCGGACCATACTGAAACCAAAGCCATAGCAGGTGGTAACTTTTCTTCAGAAACTATAATGACTACTGTAGGCTGTACAGTAGTCTAGAAGAGGCTTAGTTTTATAATCCAATACAAAATTTAAATTTGAAACTCTTACTCATTGTGTAAGGCTAATATGTAAAGGAGGCAGTATAAAATTTCTTTTGTATAAAAAGAAAATGTTTTGAAAYTTAGGTGGGAATAACAAATATAAAATAGATAAAATATCACGTTTTAGAGTCTTGCCATGTTCCAAAATGGTGAAAATGAAAATAGCTAGCCATAAAGTGTTCTGTGCCTAGTTAATGTTGACACAAACAGATGTCTAAAATGTTTCACAAATGACCCTGTTATTCCAAAGTATGTTCAAAACTATTCCACTGTTAATTTAGACTGAATACTCTGAACTACAGCTGAGATTTTTAATTTTCACTTTGTTATTATTAGCATTACTTTATTCAAATGGGGCAGTTATCAAGTGTTCTCTGTGTAGTCATTCATAGCAAATTGTTTTCTGTTATAGTAAGACTGTACTGTGGACTGCCATTGTTTTGTTAGCATGTAGTTAAGAACCAGGAATAAAAGAATACTAAGACTRTGTCACATCCTCATAGATAAATGATAGTTGTCGAGGGTTGGTTTCCTTCTGATTGATCAAGCAATTCCTTTCTTTAGGGTCTCATACCGAACTAGATGTTGGATCATTTTTATGACTGGTCTTTAGGATTATGTATTACTCAACCAATGGATCCTTCCTCTTAGTAGTAGAATTACTAGTTGATGTTCTTCAGATATCAGGCAAAAGCTCTGACACAACTCTCTGAGAGCCACTGTCATTAAAAAGAAAGAAAGAAGGAAAGAAGGAARGGAGAGAGGGAGGAAGGAAGGAGACATAGAAAGAAAGAAAAAAAGAAAAAGACATAGCAATTACCCCATGCATTACTAGTTTATATGTATTATCATTAATCCCTTTTTTAAAAGGTTATATTCATATATTTTTGGTGATTTTTATTTTAGGATGAAGTAAATCTCAGATATGTAAAAATAACTTTTTCAGTACACAAAAGTTAATTAAGAGGTAGAGCCAAAATTGAGAAATAGGTCTATCTGRCTCTCTAAGCTTTCCCCCCTGACTCAGACTTTCTAATTTTGAATATTTACATTGAAGAGCATCTATATTATTGTACTCTCAACCTCTTTCATATTTGTTAGTGCTGTAGATACAAGTCTGAGCTTTAAGATCACATTTTGTGGGTTTCAGTTCCTACTCTGGCACTTGTGAGTTTTGTGATTTGAACAAATTATTTCACTCTCAGTGCTTTAGGTTACTAATTTATAAGATAGTTGTGAGAATTAAATGATATAAAGTACTTAGAATAGGTGTCTGGCCCAAGTAAGAGGTTAATACTTGCTTCTTGGAACCTAAATTCTAGTAGGGGATGAAAGATAAAGAAGTAAATGATATTGTATATTATAAGATGATAGTTGTTTAGGAAAGAAGAAGGAGAGGGAAAGCCAAATGTGATGCTGGTGATGTGATGTTTGATTATTTGCTTTTACTCTTCTTTATGGGGCATGTAGGTCTTCACTTTTATTTAATGCAATGTAATTTAAAACTATCTATTTCAGCCCTGAAGTTTCTCTTATTAGTTTACTGGGGATTTTAGTTTATCTTTCAGGAAATCTAGCATGTTATAATAGAAATTATTGATGCTATGGAGTGGCAAAGTATCTTAATAATTTTATTAGTTTAGACCAGGGATTCATAAATAATGGTCAAGGGCCAACCCTGACTTATTGCCTGTTTTTGTTAGTAAAGTTTTTTTTTTTTTGAACAGCCACAGACATTCATTTATTGTCAGTACAACTTTTCTGCTGCAAAAGCAGCAGCAGATGCCCACAAAACCTAAAATACTTACTATCAAGAGTTTTAAAGAAAAAAGTTGCTAATCCTTGGCTCTTTAGACCATCGTTTAAGAGGTGTGTTGATATTTTCTTCTGATCTTTGTCTAACCATTCAGAGTACTTAAGTAGGAAGAAAAAACTTAAGAAGAGTTATGAAAAGATAGCACAGAAAACAAATTTATATTAGACAAATACTAACACCAATCTCTTTTGTCTCCGATATGTTAACCTACCTATTTATTTTCTCTGGGAATCTGCTTCTCCCAGATACTATAGTACTTTGACCCGGGAGGGAACCAATGCAATGGACTATCTTAGAAAAAAATAAAAAGGCTTTTGTTTCAACATTAAACATTCATTATAGAGTTGAATCTTGAATGGTAGAGACTAATATTTGAATTTCACAGCCTTGATAGAAAAAAAAAGATGAGTACCAGGTTCATTGTGAGCCTAAGTCTTTATGAAGAATTTGACCCTCTTCTTATGGCTTTGTATAATCCAGTGATGAAGTACAAATAAGTTAGCACTCGAATGTCATTTGCTTTCACAGGTCTATAATGACAGATCTATACTACCTCAGTCAAACAGATGGAGCAGGTGATTGGCGGAAAAAAGAGGCCGAAGATCTGACAGAGCTGGTCCAGCGGAGAATAACCTATCTCCAGGTAAGAAGATTAGGTTAGGATATAAACTTAGTGAAAGAAAAAGAAGGAAAATCATAGTAAAGATAAGAGTAAGAATTATTGTTTTTAGTCTTCATAGTCCTTTGCTTTTTGAAATTAATTGCTCATTTATTTAGAAAGATAGTTATACCTTGAGTAGAATACAAAGGAGGCTAAAACAAGATACTTTCCCCAAGAGGGGCTGGGCTACCTTTTATACACATACACAAAACTACAGTACAATTATGAACATGCTACAGTTAATAGAAAAGAAATAGATAAAAATAATTACTGGAGTTTTAAAATGTTTACTGAAGGAGACTCAGTGATGGTTTTATAGAGATATATTATTTGAACTGAACTGTAAATTATGGGTAGAATTTGGACACAGARAAATGAAGGAAAAGAACATATCTGCTGGAGAATACATTATGAACAGTATCTYATGGCCAAGAGAAGGCCGGGAATCCAAATGAGAATGAAGTGCTATAATTTGGAGCTTTAGATTTTGTGAAAAGGAGGGTTGGAAGATAAGATGGAAAGATGGGATTTGGAGCTAGATTACAGAGGTTTATGGTGCATAAGAAGTAAGATATTATTTATGTTTTTCAAAATAATATCTTTTTGAAAGATATTATTTATGTTTTACAAACATCATTATAGCTATAGATAGGAAATAGTGGCAAATGCCTCTCTCAAATTAAATCTTAATTTTTTTGGTATCCTGTTCTAGTTCTTACTAGTATGCCTATGCAGTCTTACATATTAGTAAGGAAATAATCTATTTACTTTTGATTTTTTTCTGCTTAATATACTATAAGCATTTTTTTTTCTATTTTGGAGTCATTAATAGCTTTTGAAAGGTTTTTCCATGTAAGAGGGACATGATGAGAATGGTGTTTTATGTGATATTAATCTAAAAATAGTATTTTATATGAACTGTACTAGTATTTGAAACATTTGCAAGCACAGAGACCATTTAGGATAAGAGGACCATGGTGCCATTGAGAAGTATGAAAGTATATGACAGGTTGTTTTGAAGTGAATAGACAAAATTTGAGAGAATTTTGGAAAACAGAATTGACCAGGTCTTTTCAATAGGTGAAAGCACTGAAATAGATAGGAACAGGAGCATCATTGACTGATAAGGAATGGCAAGATAGGATAGTTTTCAGGAGGTAAAGAAAGAACTGATAGAATTCTTCAAAACTGAAAAATGCTTGAAATTGAAATGACTGTGAAACATACTGCACCCATCATTTTCTAATGCTGTTGATGGCCTGGTTTCTGGGTATAATCAACCCTGTTATCCCTGGAAGATTAAAAACAAAATGGCTATCAGTGTATGCTTCTGTATATTTTAAGGTGCACATTTTCCTACATATAAGTAGCAAAAAAGTAAAAAATCAAGTGTTTAGAGATCATTAAAAAATGAACCTGATCTTGGCATGCCATCTTGGTCTCATAGTCCCATGACCATTCATCAGAGGTATCTGCAGAGTAAGAAATACTTCACCTCCTTTTGGGAAGAGGTAATTATCTCCTATCAACTAGATCTTCACTCAGTGAATTCTGAGTAGCTGGTGGTACAGAAACATCATATTTATTTAAAACAGAAATAACAGTGGTTTCTGAGCTTCTTCCATTTCCATATAAGCAATAAATTTTCACCCTCAATATTTAAACTGTGATCAGGTCATAYATAGGTCAGTTCCCTACATTTTAACAAGTGCCTGCTATTTGCTTTAGTTATTTTTTTTCTTTTTTTCTCTCTTCTTTTAGGTGACCAAATCCTTTTACCAATAGTGCCAGTTTAATTGTCTATATGCTGATTTCTATTTTTCTATATTAGAGGACTTCACTTATAAATTATTCTAATGATTAAAAATTACATTACCTTTTAAAATCTTTTAAACTGTAGCAAAATCTAATATTTTACCTGGACTTTAGCTTAAATTTTAAACATTGTTATTTATCATCCTTATTTTATTCTTTATTTCCATTAAAATAGAAAAAGTTATTTTAAAAAATTCAAGGAGATGGGAAACATCTCAGAAAAAAATATACTTTGGAAATACGTTTTTCTGAATTATTTGATGTAATGATAACTCTTTTTCTCTAGACTAAAATTTCCTTGAAGTCAGGAATTATATTTTTAACATATTATTTGTTAGAGGTTGAAAGTAGCATTCACTCACTCTTCCTCTTCTCTGTGTAGAGGCAGAAAAGCATTCTTTTTTTTTTTTTTTTTTTGCTATTTGAGCAAAATCAAAAATATATATTGATAGGAATGTTTTCTTTGACTGGAATTTTTATCCCCCTGGTACGTTTTTTAGATATAACATTTATGAAATGGATTAATCAGCTTAATCAGAAGAGTTGATCACTTTCTATACATTAAAAATTATAGGAGGATCGTGAGTTCAAAGACAGCCTCAGCAAAAGTGAGGCACTAAGCAACTCAGTGAGACCCTGTCTGTAAATAAAATACAAAATAGGGCTGAAGGCAGAGTGTTCCTGAGTTCACTCTCCAGTACCCACCCCCCAAAACCAAATACATCTTTTTCTCATATAGGTTATGTGTCCCTTATCCAAAATGCTTGGGACCAGAATTGTTTATATTTTCTCAGGTTTTAGAATATTTTCATATACATAATGAATTATTTGGGGGATAAGACCCAAGTCTAAACATACAATTAATTTATGTTTCATATATACATTTTATACACAAACTCTGAAGGTAATTTTTTACAATATTTTTAGTGTGTCTGTGTTGTGACTAAGACCCAATATAGAATCAGATGTGGCATTTTCCCCTTGTGACATCAGTTGGTGCTCAAAAACCTTTGGATTTTGGAGAATTTCATATTTTAGATTTTTGGATTAGAGAAACTTACCTTGTACAGTTTTTTGTTTGTTTGTTTGTTTGTTTTTTGTTTTTTGCTTTTGTTTTATAGTACTGGGGAATGAACGCAGAGAATTCACACATGTTAGACAGGTGCTCTACCACTAAGCCACATCCCTGCACCTTTTAATTTTATTTTGAGACAGGTACTTGCTATTGTTGGCCTCAAACTTATGATCCTTCTGTCTCAGCTTCCCAGTAGACCTGGGATTACAGATGTGTTCTACCACATGTGAACTGTACTACTTTTCTTGGCATTTGTTTTAGTCAGCTATTCTACTGCTGCAACTTAAAGACTCCACCAGAAYAACTGTAGAGGAGGAAAGGTTTATTTGAAGACTCACAGTTACAGAGGTCTTAGTCCATAGAAGGGTGGCTCCATTCCTCAGGGCTCCAGGTGAGGTTGAACCTCATGGTAAGAGAGGGTGGCAGAGGAAAGCAGCTTATATCATGGTGATAAGGAAATAGAGAAACAGACCTCCACTTGCCAGATACAAATATATACCTGAAGGCCACGCCCTAATCCCACCTTCATCAGCCATACCCTACCACTTCAGTTACCACTCGGTTATTTCCTATCGGGATTAATTCACTGGGTTAAGACTCTTGCATCTCAGTCATGTCTCCTCTGAACCTCCTKGTATTATCTCACTCATGAGCTTTTTTTTTTTTTTTTGAGGGGGTGGTATTAGGGATTGAACTTACAGACACTCAATTACTGAGCCAAATCCCCAACCCTATTTTTTTTGTATTTTATTTAGAGACAGGGTCTCACCGAATTGTTTAGCGCCTCTCCATTGCTGAGGCTGGCTTTCAATTCGAGATCCTACTGGCTCAGTCTCCCCAGCTGCTGGGATTACAGGCGTGCACCACTGTGCCCAGCTCACATGTGAGCTTTTGAAGGATACTTCACATCCAAACCATAACAGTATTTAAATGTATTTATATTCCATTGTCATTAGTTTAAGTGAAGTATTACTGTAAAAAGTATAAGTAACTTAAATTCTGAAAGATTTCAGTAGGGCTTAGATATTAGGAAATAAAAGTCCTTTCTCCCACAGTGTGGGGATTGGACCCAGGGGCTCATACATGCCAGGCAAGCACTGTAGCACTAAGCCACATCCCCAGTCCAGGAAAAAAGTTTTTAAAAGGAGAATATAGGAATCTTTAACTTGGAAACTGTATTACAAAATAAGCAGTTTATACAATTTATTAATGGAGATTTTTAGAAGGCTCACCTTGTTTGGCCCATTATCAGTTTGATTCAGTTGTGGGTTCATGTTATATTGAGTATAGTTTAACCACATGATTTTAATCAACTCAGCAGCTCATTCAGAATTTATATTGAACCTTAAGTCAAAACTTTTCTCTAACTTTGCACCCCATTTCATAGCACTAAATATGTTTTAAAATGTAACTTTGCTGTTAAAATTATGGGTTATGGCCCAGGCACAGTGGTAATGCCAGTGACTCAGGAGGCTGAGGCAGGAAGATCACAAGTCTGAGGCCAGCCTCAACAACTTAGTGAGACTCCGTCTTAAAAAATGAAAGAGGGCTGGGGATGTAGCTCAGTGGTAAAGTGCTCCTGGGTTCAACTCAAGAACCCCAGACCCAAGAAAATTTATCTGTTCTCTTGAGCTCCCTAATCAATGCCTGGATCTATCGTATAAATACTCTGCTCTAGTGTTTCTCTGTTAATTATGATAATATTATTACTGTAAGAAATTTTTCATGTGATTGAGTTAATCTTGGCAACATGTATAGAGATCATTTGAAATGTGTCCTGTATATACAAAAGATCATAATAATTTGTATCTGAATAGGAAATAATAGGAAAAAGGGACATTAGAAGCAAATGTTTTAAATATTTTCATTATTTAAATACCTTATTATATTCTTGATAAATACTTCATGACTTATTTTCAGTGATTGGTTTGGAGACTACTGATTTAGGTAGTTGAAAATATTTTCAGTTTATTAGATTTTTACTAATACTAATAAAATTCATTATCACTTCTCACTAACAACATTTATTAAAGATTTTTTGAGATACAAGACCTAGAACAAAGAAAACAATCTAGATTGAGCTTAACCCATA